TAGGAAAAGAGATACAAGGGCAGCAGACTCTTCCTTCAGGCTCAGGAATGTAAAGGACTCCAAGAAGGCCACCTTCCAAACTGCAGGGTAAAGGTGGGACAGCTGTTAGCAGGATTTCAGATGGAGTGAGCTGAAAGCTAGTGAAGCACCATGTTAAGTTTCCAGGGAGAAACAGGAGATCCTGTCACAGGCCTGAGAAAAGACCGAGAGACTGGGGAGGAACTCCTGGGTGATCCCATTTACAGATCCCTGAGAGACCCTAACGTGGCCACTTGCACCCTGAAAGAACCTGGGGATAAGCATTTATCACATCCAGATTGAAGAAGGCAGGAACCGAAGAGCCCCCTAGCCTTATTTTCCTCTCCCTGAGCCATGATGTAAAGAATCCCCACTGTAATAGGCATCATGGTGCCTGCTCTCCAGGAGACCAAGGGTGTGGTGATAACCCTGCCTGAGGAGCAGTTTGCGGGGTGGGCTGACTGACTGACTGAGCTTTCTTGGGGTCTGGGTTGCGCTCAGAAGGCCTGGAAACACAAGCAACCTGATTGGACATGCCAGCGCAAACTGGAGCTGCTTTGTAGCAGGACCTTCTGAGACCGCTTCCGGCCTGCAGGACCTCCTTCGCTCTGCCCTGCCTTTTTTAGAACTTGTCTGCAGTGAGGTATTGGAGGAGCATTGAAGACACATGGGGAAAGTTCCCTTGGACTTGTGTGCCCAGGCCTGGTGGGTTCAGGGTAACAGTTGCAGATTTTACACATTGACTTTGAATTTGTGAGGAGGGCAGCGGGCTGGTTGGAGCCCACGCGGGCAAAGTACGAGGCTTTAATTTGGAGGCTGAGTGACTCCTCCCCAGTGACCTGCTTAACTAGCCTGCCTTTGGATTGTGGGATGAAAAAGGTTCCTTCAGCCCACAAAGTGCATTCTACCCACACAAAGGATTTTGTGGCTTCTTTGAGGTTTGCGCCAGTTGAGATCCAGCACTACGGCTGGATTGTCCAGTCTTACCAGGACGTGTTGACCTTGAATTTGAGGGGACCTTTGGCTTGATGGCTTCTAACAGCCCTTAGTGCCAGAGAGGCTGTCCACAGACAATCACATTGCTTGAGCTGTAGGTTGTGTATAGGAATCCCCATTCCAGAAGATGAGTCCTTAGTGATATTAAGCCATCAGGAGATAACTCTTCAGCATGTTCTTTCTGCCTTATGCATTTGGATGCCTGGAGGAGGGTACAGCTCCATTTCTGGATGGTTGGGAGAGCGTCAAGTTTCTAATAGGAACAGCGGCAGGGAAACAGCCATTGCCACCATCACCATCGCCTTCCGAAGGCTGGAGAGCCATAACCAGATTGGGTAAAAAAGGATGGAGCTGTAGGGAGAATCGTAGGATGTCATGGATATGTGAACAGACCTCCTTTAAATCTGTCCAGGCTGAAAGGTCACCCAGACTGCTCACTGCTGGACATGAAACCAGATTCTGAGCTCTGCATCAGCACATGTCCGATACACTGTATTAGCTAAAGAAGTTGGCATTTTAGGTCTAGTGCTGAATACATCCTCATGGCTACATGGCCCCTGAGAATTCTCTTGAACATGTTCCTGTATGCAGCCGCTGCCCTGGCACATGGCCTATGGCCTTTACTGCAGCTGAGAAAGCTGCTGCTCAACACTGGAAGAAAGGGAAGAAAATATTAGTTTGGGAGGAGGAGGAGGCGCCAGAGTCCGTGAGACAATTGAGTAACCCATTTGCCCTGTGTCGTGGCTGCCCACGTTTGCTGAAAAAGGAAACTCTTGGTCCTCTGAGTGCCCTGCTTAGAATTGGGAGAAGCTGGTTCAGAAGTGGAAAATGTGGGAGACAGGGATGTTTCTGTCAGACTGATAGGCCTGAGGAAGGAAACGAATGAGGAATCTGTCTCTGGGTTGCTTGTGCTTTCAGGGAGATTAGCAGATGGAGGAGGGAAGGTCAGGGGCTAGACCTGAAAAGTTTTTGAGAACAACTCCTGTCGTTAATCTGTGGTAACATTTTCAGAAGTATCCATGTGACTTAGGAGCCCAAGTCCCACAATGATTTAGGTGCTAGGAGCCTAATGCTCACAGGACAATGTTCACTGCAGTACAGGCAGGCACCTCCAGCTGCAGAGGCAGAAAGGAAAATGACTGGAGGCAGGAAGGGCGGAACTGATAATACCAACGAAGGCTGCTCTCTTCATAACCTGCCTGACTGCAGCAAGGAGGATGAGCTGTCCCATGAGCCCTGAGCCACGGAAACGTTGCTGGCTTTAACATTTTGTGGCTGCCTGACATGAGCGAACTGCCTGGTGTTGTACAGTGTCATCTTTGTGTTCACATGGGTTTATAAAGGGTTCACTCCTTGGGGCAGGTCTGTCATTCCGTTCTGGGTTTGGCACCTACCAGCCCAGTGGGACCTTGGTCTTTAATTCTAGCCCCTAGGTGTTATCACAGTACAAATAACTAATAATGCCAAGCCTCGTAGAGTGGGAAGCATTCTGCTGTCCTTGTGTTTGACACCATAAGTGTTCAGAGCAAGATGCGCTGACTAGTTGATAAATTGAATGTAACTTTGAATCCCAGTGATAAACCGTAGAACAAAAGGCCCCATGTGTGCAGGAGGTTGGGGTTTGGGACGAGGGCTAGTCACTTATCACAGTAGTATCTGAGCTCCTTCCAGTTGCACATTAAACCACATGACCTACATCTATCACATGTCCATTCTGTCATCCCCTGACAGGGAGAAGGGTGTGCAGTAGTGGGTTTTAGTTTGGAGTTTTTGTATTACTAAATATATACCCGTGTGGCTAGACGTTGACGTTAGAGAAGGCAAAGTCAAAGACATTTTCCTTGTACTGTGAGCAGAAGGTGGGGACGGCTGGGATGATCCTTAGTTCCTGGAAAAGTTAATTCCACAACCTCAGACCAGCCCCTGAGAAAGCTCCATCTCCTGCTCAGGCAAGCTTTACCCTTATTATAGAGAGCTCCATTGGGCCAGAGGAATATAGTGGTCCACGGAGGTTCCCTCTGTGTAGGACTGAGGCTCTATTGAAGGGTTGGGGAAGCAGTAAGAGGAAGTGGAGAGTCTTATGTCAGCCCTGCTGATTGAGGGAGTGTGTCTGTCATTTGTGAAGTGGGGTCATAGCTTAGAAGCTGTGTTAGAGCTTTGGCTGCTAGTGGACTCCTAGGGAGTAGTTGTGCTAAGAGTAGTCCCTGTGGCACCTTAGAGACTAACAAATTTATTTGGGCATAAGCTTTTGTGGGCTAGAACCCACTTCATCAGATGCATGGAGTGAAAAATACAGGAGCAGGCATAAATACATGAAAAGATGTGAATTGCCTTACCTCACACTTGGTAAGGCAATTCACATCTTTTCATGTATTTATACCTGCTCCTGTATTTTCCACTCCATGCATCTGATGAAGTGGGTACTAGCCCACGAAAGCTTATTCCCCGATACATTTGTTAGTCTCTAAGGTGCCACAAGGACTCCTCGTTGTTTTTGCTGATACAGACTAATACAGCTACCCCTCTGAAACCTGTGCTAAGAGTGTTTCTTCCAACTACGCCTGGCAAGATGAGGGTGACCATTTCTTTTGGATGAAGGGAACTTGCTGCTTGCATCTGCACCAGGCTGCTGTAACGTGGTCTTTGTGGGGCTGTCTCCTAAGGAAACCTGGAAAGTGAAACTGGTGCCGAATTTGGCTGCCTGGATTTTTGGTGGAGCTTCATATCGGGAGTCCTGGCTCTTTACTGAGTGTTTTATTCTTTACTTGTGGAGTTTGTTTTAAACTATAAAGCTCTAGGGCAGTAGTTCTCAAACTTTTGTACTAATGACCCTTTTCACATAGCAAGCCTTTGAGTGCAACTCCCCTTATAAATTAAAAACACTTTTTAATATATTTAACATCTTTATAAATGCTGGATGCAAAGTGGAGTTTGGGGTGGAGGCTGACGCTCGCGACCCCCCATGTAATAACCTCGCGACTCCCTCAAGGGTCCCAACCCCCAGTTTGAGAATCCCTGCTCTAGGGCCTGGCTCCACAAAGGACTTAAGAACCTAGAAAATCACAGGAATACATAGAGATTCCCAGAGTCTGAATTAGGCACCTAGGCTCCCTATACAATGGGTGGGGAGGGTTAGACATCTAAGACTGGGATCCCCAAAAGCCAGCACACTGTGCAGGGACCTGCATAAGCTAGCTAGTGGAAGATACTGAGGAGAGGGTGTGTTCTAAGCCCTCTCAGGGAGCACCTAGCATCCAGGCTGTAGGGAACTACCTATCTCTGCTTGTGATCCACCACTGGGAACCCCTCTCTGGAGTCCAGCGACTCAAGGATGCAAGTTGTTTCATGTGAGAATTAATTAGTCACCTGCCTGACTCCACACACAATGGCCAGAAAAGGAGGAAGCAGTGGGAGTGCTACCCTTATCACTTTTAGCCCAGTGGTAAGAGCACTCACCTGGGATGTGGGAGACCTGGGTTCTGTTCCCCCCATGCTTGATGCAGAGAAAAGATTTGAACAAGTGTCTCCCACCTCTCAGGAGATGTGCTAACTACTGGGCTTTGGGATATTCTGATGTGGGGCTCCCTGAATCTCTCTTGTTGAAGCCTCTTCCTCTGGCCAGCTTTTGAGTGGGACATGATCCAGTAAGTGGTCTCTGAGCATGCCTGCCAGATTGGGCCCCACAGGTGAGTTAGGTGCTCCTACGCCTGTCTTCTGTCAGGTCGGGGGTTGCTGTGGGGAATCAGGCGGGAGATAGGCACCTTAACCCCCAGAGGGAGGCAGCAGTGTTCATCCCCAGAGGCAGGAATTTAGGTGCCTAGGGAACTTGTACAGCAGAAATGTAGGTACTGAGTGATTTTAGACACCTATGGGATTAGGTGGCAGCTGAGCAGGGGTTTTGTGCATTGCCGTAGCACCTAAAACTGGAACTTAGGCTCCTAAATATGTAACCTTTTTACAATTTTTCATAACATTTTCTTTGCCAGAAGATGCTGTTTGGGTTTCACGAGCCACCCTCTTCAAAGTCCTGGGGGCGCTCTGTGTGGCGTGCGCTGGTATTATTGGAAGCCAGTACATGAATACTCGCACCTGAGACTGGGGTCCCATCGGGCCTGCTCCCTGCCCACAGGTGGGTGTCCTTTGACTCTGCTCTGCCAAGTTACATTTAGCCATTAGCAAATGAATCTGTCCGCAGCGACGTCCCATTAGTAAACCCATTTATCTAACATAGTCTGTACGCCAGATGGAAGCTGGTTAAGTGACTCACACTGTATTCTAAGTAAAATATGCTTAGCAGTTCATTAGATTTTGGCATCCGTAACTAATTACATTTGTAACATCACTCATAGGCACCGACTTTTTGGTTGCAGGGGGTGTTTGACCTCACGCTGCTCTGTGCCCCGCCCCTTCTCTACCCCTTCCCACAAGCCCCCACCTCCGCCTTGGCTCTTCCCACCACTGGCTCCCCCACCCCGCCTCTTCCTGCTCCCTCTCCCCCAGAGCCTCCTGCACACCCTGGAACAGCTGATCGCGGTGCGTGGGAGGCACTGGAAGGGAGGAGGAGGAGCTGATCAGCAGGGCTTCCGGCAGGCGGGAGGTGCTGGGGCAGGTATAAATATGCAAGCAAGAATCAGGCTAGGGATAACTAGGTTAGTTCAGTCAGGGAGGATGAGGCCCTCTCCTAGCAGTTGAAGTGTGAACACCAAGGGAGGTGAACACCAGTTTCTCCTCGCTTGGTGTTCACACCTCAACTGCTAGAAGAAGGCCTCATCCTCCCTGATTGAAATAACCTCCTTATCCTATCAGGTGCCACAGGACTCTTTGCCGCTTTTATAGATCCAGACTAACACGGCTACCCCTCTGATGCTTATAAGGCAGGGGCTCTTACACTGCAATACGCTAATGTCACAGGGACACTGCCCCAACTCAGGGCCTGTTCGTGGCGATAATAGTTTATATGGTCTCTGGCCAGGGCCTTTTATCTGTGGATCTCCCAGCCCTTCAGGAGGCGCTCTGAGTAAAACTCTGTTTCAGTCCGAGAGAGGATGTCCCTTCTTCCTGTTCTAAGTACCTTGGGCCCGATTTTTCTGCCCCGGTTCAAGCCCTTTTGCACCACCCAGTTGGCACAGAGAAGCTGAATCTGGCCCTCAGGATTTCCCCAGCATAGCATAGTTAACGCAGACACCAAATACTCCCCACCCTGCCCTGGTGTGGGGTGGTGCCCAGGGTGGAGCATGTCCATGTTACACTGATTCGCAGCTGGCTCAAGGCATATAGGGACCCTATATTGCTATAGCATCTAGAGGCCAACCAGGTCAGGACCTTGTCGCGCTGTGTAAACCTAGTAAATGACAGCCCCTGTCCCATCCAATGAAGTGAGCTGTAGCTCACAAAAGCTTATGCTCAAATAAATTTGTTAGTCTCTAAGGTGCCACAAATACTCCTTTTCATTATATGCATGTTACCTAGAATACACTGCTGCTATTTCCTAACCTGACGTATGTATTTTCATTTTTTTCCAGATCCTCTGTCTACCTGGATCTCACCTGTCATCCAAAATAAAAAACATCAGCACCTGTTACTGTTTTGTGTTTGTGTTCATACAGAACTTCAAAATTAAGGTTGTTGCAATGAGCTTCTATTATAAAGTCCTATGTTAATCCACCAAGAATTTTGGCTTTGAAAATTGATTTGGTATGAAAGTTACCAGATTTGCTCTGAAGACAAAGGAAAATATTTCTGCAAAGTTTGAAGAAAATGAATAAAACAGTTTTTGAGATACAGATCATTTAAAAAAATACCCCATGTGAAACTAGGCATGTCTAACATTTTCGTTGGATCCCTCTAGCTCACAAAAAGACTTGTTTGTTATCCTTCAAATTTTCATAGAGTTAAATTTCCTGGAAAACACATGCCTTGGCTCTGTTGGGAGAAAATAGATGTAATTAAGCAAACTTTATTAATGTTTTTTGCTGGGACCCAGTTCTGTTCCCATTCCTAAGTATGTGATGCATTGGGGTTTTGTTTGTTTGTTTGTTTTTGGTTATTGACTGCCGTGGGAACAGGACCAGGTACTATAGGTGTGTATGTGAGTAAGTTGATCTCCGTTGGTGGGTTACAGTTTAGAAAGGATATAAGGTTCCTTCTATATCTGAGAGCTAAGCATGGCTTTCTTTTACTTCAAGTTTGGACTGAGTTTAGAGCTTCAAGATCAGGGTTCTGGATCCATCTTCTGCACCCTGTGTGGTTTGTAACTGTGAAGATATAGCCCAGGGGTGGGCAAACTCTTTTTTGGGCCACATCTGGGTATGTATGGTAGGCCATGAATGCTCACGAAATTGGGGGTGGGGGTGAGGGCTCTGGCTGGGGGTGTGGGCTCTGGGGTGGGGCTGGGGATGAGGGGTTGGGGGTGCAGGAAGTTGCTCCGGGCTGGGACGGAGGGGTTCAGAGGGCAGGGGGGATCAGGGCTGGGGCAGGGGGTTAGGGTGCAGGAGGGGATGAGGGGTGCAGGCTCCGGGCGGCGCTTACCTCAAGCAGCTCCCAGAAGCAGTGGCATGTTCCTTCTCCGGCTCCTACGTGGAGGCACACCCAGGCAGTTCTGTACGCTGCCCTGTCCACAGACGCCACCCCTGCAGCTCCCATTGTCTGCGTGTCCCATGTGGAGCCCTCTGGCTGCCCCTACGTGTAGGAGCTGGAGAAGGGACATGCCGCTGCTTCTGGGAGCTGAGCGGGGCAAGCCCTGGACCCCTCTCCCCGGCAGGAACTTGAGGGCTGGATTAAAACGTCTGGAGGGCTGGATACGATCCTTGGGCCGTAGTTTGCCCACCTCTGATACAGCCTCTTCATAGGTAAGGTTACAATGCATTAGAAAGCTGACTTTGATCCCCTTTGTTAGACAAGAAAGAAGGGGGTTAAAAAGACAAACCATCTTGTTTTCACATTTGTAGGGTGGAATGTCAGTGACAATAGAATATTTTCTAAAGTTTTTGAGTAAACTGAGTAAGGGCTTCTTGAGATTAACGTAATTGGAAGTGCCTCCTTTTTGTAATGTGTGGAGGTGTCTGTTGTGTCTGTGTAATCATGCTGGGCCAAGAGAGGGACAATGTACCGCGAGTGTGAAACATAAGTAGATCTTGACAGGGGCTGAAGCAAGAGGCAGTTTTCAACGTTAGGAATAGTAAATGTTTACAAAATTGCCATTATTTGAAAACTAGACATTAGTGTCTGTGAGTGAAACCAAGGAGAAAAAACTTGGTGATCGAGAATTTTCACTGTCAACCTCTGAACTAGCCCAGGTTACTCCTCAAAAGCGAGAGGAAACATCAATGGGAAAATACTGGCCCTTTTGAGATCAATAGAGATTTTTCCCTTGACTAAGGTGGGGCCAGGACTGCACCCTAGGGCAACTCTTCCTGCCTTTCTGGCCAAAGTGCCCCCTTCACCTATGGGTAATACATACTGCGGTCCAGCTGGGGTAACTGGCGTAACTTTTTTGGGGGGAGGGGATAGATAACTCAGTGGTTTGAGCATTGGCCTGGTAAACTCAGGGTTGTGAGTTCAATCCTTGAGGGGGCCATTTAGGGATCTGGGGCAAAAATTGGAGATTGGTCCTGCTTTGAGCAGGGGGTTGGATTAGATGACCTCCTGAGGTCCCTTCCAACCCTGATATTCTAGGAAAATATAAATTCCTTGGAAAAGGTTACATAAGAAGTTTTGGATAAGGCTGGGGACAGAATCCTGCTACAGATTTAAGGCTAGAAAGGAACATTCTGATCATCAAACATAGCACAGGCCAGAGACTTTCACCCAATATTCCTACAGAAAGCTGAATAACTTGTTAGGAGACCCATGTTGTATCCAGTACACCACACTGCCTATCATTGTTTCAAATCTGTGCACTTAGGTCAATGGTCAATTTCAGCTAATATATCCTCTCCACCCTTTTAAGATGATTTGGGAACTACATGTAATAAAGCAATATAAATGTAAAACATTAAAACACAGGTTCAGTAGCCTAACAGTAATGTGGCCTAGGGAGTTAGACATTAGCTGTGGAACCAGGAGAGCCAAGTTGTAGTCTTGGTCTGATGCTTAATCTGCTAAAACTAATGATTTGTGTTCGGAGTGGTGAAGGCCGGCTGTATGGTGTGTGCATGGCTCACTTAGCTACGTTTGTGTAGCTTGTCAGCTGTGTTTTGAATGTGGCAGGGCTCTGCAGGAACCAAAATTAGTTTAGTGGGCACCACCCACCTCTTTAATTCAATAATTTGTTGACACAACCCATTAATTTAACCCTTTAAAAGCTTTCTTCATTTACTTTACAAAATATAAGAAAATTGTGTGTGCTTACATAGGCAGTGTAGGATTTGTTACCCAGACTTAAAAAGTATGATCAGTAAGAAGACTTTGCAATTACATTGGGCCAGAATTTGATCCCTTTCTCAGCCTTAGTGTCTTACACTATATGAAATCCTTTTGGTGTGAATGAGTCTCGTCTGGAGTGAGGTGCTACTCAGAGCACGTAGGGCTTCAGGGTCTACCCCATAGTGGTTTTCTTCAGTGGTAGAGCTCAAGGTTGTTGTTCATGTTTTCCTGCTGGCCTGACGACAGAGGTTTGAAATGGCCTGCCTAAAATTCTGTGGGCTAGTGGGTAAGATGGGGGTCGACCACCTTAAAGGTCAGGGCTGTCACAAGCTGTACCTCAAATCTCCTATGTCGCTTTCAGCAGGTCATTAAAATGTTGGTTTTCTTATTTCCCAACTGATAAATGCCCATTCCTTTGAGACTAGGGCTGTGCTGGCAGGGCATGGAGGAAGAAGAGTCATTTTGCCACATTTTAGCATTTAATTTCACTTTTGAGAAGTAACCCTGGCTGATTTTTGCAGATTAACAAAAAATATTATCTCACCACATGTGTCCCCTGCACATCAGTTCCACTGATAGAGACTCATATTTAGTATTCAAATAATAGCAATTTCTTAAACATGTTTATTCTTCTTGCCTTTAAAAATTGCCTTTGTCTTGAACCATATTCAGAATCTGCCTGTGTTTTAGATGTAATGGCACACTATGATTTTATTGGGCAGAGTGAGGGAGACAAATATTTTGATACTTTGATACTACATGATTTAGAAGCACGTCTCATTGACTTTCTTTAGGATTTGTGCTCCTAAGTCACTTGGGCACTATGGAAAATTTCATCCAAAAATACTGTTGCACATTTTAGTTGTAAACTCTTCAGGGCAGGGACTTTCAGACTGTTGGTCTGTATAATGCACAGCACAGTGGGGCCCCAATCTCATTGGGCCTTTAGACTTTACTGTAACGACTAATTAATAACACTTTTATCAGAATTTTTCAGAAATTTTTTGAGTGTCAGAGACTTAACTCCTCCTGCTTCCACATGGTGAGGGTTTTCTTTTTAGGGTTGCCAGGGTAGGTCAAAATTGGTCTGATAAAGGGATGGGGGTTGTAATGTGAATAGTAACACACAACTGCAGAGTTTGAACCCTGTTCTAGCTCCAAAACACCCAGGCATCCACCACTTAAGAACATAAGAACAGCCATACTGAGTCAGACCAAAGGTCCATCTAACCCAGTATCCTGTCTTCTGACCGTGGCCAATGCCAGGTGCCCCAGAGGGAATGATCCATCCCCTGTTGCCCATTCCCAGCTTCTGGCAAACAGAGGCTAGGCCTAGGGACACCATCCCTGCCAATCCTGGCTAATAGCCATTGATGGACCTATCCTCCATGAATTTATCTAGTTCTTTTTTGAACCCTGTTATAGTCTTGACCTTCACAACATCTTCTGTCAAAGAGTTCCACAGGTTAACTGTGCTGTGTGTGAAGAAATACTTCTTTGTTTGTTTTAAATCTGTTGCCTATTAATTTCATTTAGTGACCCCCTAGTTCTAGTGTTATGAGGAGTAAATAACATTTCCTTATTTACTTTCTCCACACGAGTCATGATTTTATAGACCTCTATCATATCCCCCCTTAGATGTCTCTTTTCCAAACTAAAAAGGCCCAGTTTTATTAATCTCTCCTCATACGGAAGCTGTTCTGTACCTCTAATAATTTTTGTTGCCCTTTTCTTAATCTTTTCCAATTTCAGTTGAGCTAAAGGAAGATCTCTTTACCTGTCGCCTATAGAAATATCCTTACGTTCAATCTAATCTGAAACCAGCCAATAAAGGGCAACAAATATACAGTGCCCAATCTTGCAATCACATAAACCAATGGCAAAAAAAAGCCTCAGCTGATACCAGCAAAAGCAAGATTGAGCTGAAAATTATCCACAACAAAAATCATTAATAACTTTGGTTAATTACAACCTATTTTAATCAAATTTAGCAGCTGAACAAGTTCAAAAGGTGATTTAACAATACATACAATTTAAAGTGCCAAAAAACAACCCATTTCTGAGCTAGAAGGAGACGAGCATTAATTCAGTGATATTTAAAACAATGGAATGGTTTATGTGACTAATTGTTTTCAAAACGTGCAGAAACATTTTCCTTTGCCTTCAGAGTAAGGTTATGTTTACACGAGCACTTTTGTCCATCAGGAATGTGAAAAA